CCTGCTGATGTATATCAAATGTCTCAGAAATCTGCATCATTAACTGACCTCTTCAAGCGGCTTGTTACTGAGTGTACTCCAGTAACCCTGAGCCTGTATTGTCCCCAAACCCAGTACAATAATGCAACACCATAAATGTCAGTGTGTTTAGTTATTGCGAGTTACGGATGTCACTGTATTTCCCTGCAAGCCTTGCTTCCTCGTTGGAGAATTGTTAAAAATTGCTGGGTTTTGAACGCACCCAACAGATTGGCTTGCAGTTTGTGTGGAAATACTGTGCTTTGCTGGCTTGCTTTTTGCTTTGTCTTGACCACCGACTTTCTGCTCAGTGCTCTGTTGAGCAGTTTGTCTGTACAGCCCAGGGGGAGGCAGGGTGCTGCAGGGACCCACCGTTACCTCCGACACAGGCTGTCTCGGTCCTGGAAGCAGTGTTGCTGCAGTGGCTGTTTTCAGCCAGCTTAATTGTTCTGTGCAAACATATTTGTGATCTAGGCAAAACATTTACTCCAAGCAGTCATCAGCACACCCATACAGAATCGTTGTCTGTCAATGAGTGGGTTTATGTTACATTGTCAAAACTACTACCAGGTTGGGGTTAGAAATGTAGGATGCAGAAAAATCAGATAATTCTATTTTTGTGTAGTTTCCTGTTTATTTCTCTTCCTAAGGGGTCTCTTGTTATATATATCATGCCAATGCAAAACTTAACGACGCTGGTTGTCCAGTCTCAGAGTTTAACTCATTAGATGTCTGAAACCTTCTTTATAATACTCTGTTCAGTCTTATTTAAAAATAGGGCTATGAACCCAGAGACGGTGCCTTCAACAGCAGCATCAAAAAAAGCCTGACTTCTAAGTGTTCCCGCACGGAGGAGCAGGGAACTATCACAAAGCAATAGTCGTCTCTGTTGGAAAAGCCTGTGCAGCATGTATGGCTGTGCATAAAGGGACTCGCCCTTACAGCGGGATGTCTCAAACGCTTTGCTCCAGCTGAGCTGCATGCGGTGGGAAGCAGAAGCTCAGTGAAGCACTGACTTCAGGAGCTGGCAGGTCTGTGCACGGCTCTGTGCACGGAACTCTTCCTTCAAGAGAGCTTTTGCTGAAAACGTGTGCTCATCAGAGGGTCTGCGGAGCTCTGTGCCAGGGAAGGGATCCTCAGCGCAAGGACAGATCAGAAGACCTGAGGAGAGGAATTTTAAACCCCTGTGTATATACTTCATAGGTAGCTGTAATAAAACACAAACAGGAACTCCCACAGTGTTTCTTGTAGAAATGTTTAAGGTACGTGGTTAACAGGATTAATCACCTTTAAAAAAAAAAAAAAAGGGTCATTACCTGCAAGAAACTTAGATGGTGTTTTCTTAATGAGAAAGATGGGGAAAGACTTTTTACCAGGGCCTGCAGTGACAGGACAAAGGGCAACAGTTTTAAAGTGAAAGAGGGTAGATTTAGATTGAATGTAAGGAAGAAAATGTTTACGATGAGGGTGGTGAGACACTGGAACAGGTTGCCCAGAGAAGTTGTGGATGCCCCATCCCTAGAAGTGTTCAAGGCCAGGTTGGATGGAGCTCTGAGCAACCTGATCTAGTGGAAGATGTCCCTGCCCACGGCAGGGGGGTTGGACTAGATGATCTTCAAAGGTCAAACCCAAACCATTCTATGATTAATCTTGAAAATAGGCTTTTGGCACAAGCTGAGTAGCTGTGTGCTTTTTTTCTGGATTTCACGTATTAAGGCACTTTTAGGTGGGGCAGCACTATGTCTGTGAGTCCCATCTCCGGAAGCTTGGTACAGCCCTGGGCCCCCAGGGGATTCAACTAGCCTACGTGCAGCCAGAGGGAGACCTCCCGGTCTCCATACAGACCCCGCTGGCTGCCACAGTCCCTGCTCAGCCTGGGCAGTGCCACTGCCCCTGCCCATCTGCCACCATGAACATCCAGCAGCACGTGGAGGACCCCAGCACTGGCTGACCCTGCGGGGTCAGCAGCCAGAGCAAGATCTGAAGGAGGCTGCTCCTCTTACACTCCTCTTTCTTTGCCCTGCAGGTTGTCATCATGGAGGTGCAGGGTCTGAAGTCGCTGGCCCCCAACCGCATTGTGTACTGCACCATGGAAGTCGAAGGTGGGGAGAAACTACAGACTGACCAGGCTGAAGCCTCGAAGCCAACGTAAGTCTTGCCTTTTGCTGTCTCCACCATGCTCTCCTTTGCCCCATCTCTGTGCTGCTGAGCCTCTGCGGATAGCTCTGGCTCCCGCGTGGTGAGGCCAGAAGGGACTCCGAGAAGCAGAGGAGAAACGTGACCTTCCACATATGCAGAGCATCACCCTGCAACTAAGAATGGCACATAAGCCCTGACTGAGAAAAAAACGTGTTAATAACAGGCTTACGTCTCTTGTAGCCATAGAGACATAAATTTGTGCCTATACGTAAGTACTTTGCTAAATAGGGATGGAGTTAAGCATGTGCTTAGATAAATACTTGTCTGAGTGTCCATCTGAACTGGTGCCATCAGGTGTAGGTACATAAGCTCATCCTCACTGTCAGGGTTTCAGTGGTCCTATGAGAAAGGGAAACAGCTGGCGGGGACATGCTCCAGCACCCACAGCCAGAGGTGGAAGAGAGGAGCTGGGGAGAGCTTCAGGTCACTCAGTTAAAGCTTTATCTGAGGCCACTCTGTCCTGATCCAGTCCAAGGGCAGAGTCTTGTTCTGGTCTCTTTGACCTGGTCCCCAAATTCCCAGCCTTGGCCTCATACTTGGCTTTTTTGTCTTCCCCAGATGTTGTTATAAGCCTGCTATTAGTGATTGATCTTTGTTAATTTAAAAGGAGAAAATGATGAATGGCTTATTTCCTTTCCGATTTGTGGTATTAGTTAGCTTGAAACACTATCTGTATGGATTTGAGGCAGTTTCCTCTGGTTCACTGCGGAGATTTCACACTTAAATGAAATTCTCGGTGCGCCTCCTCACAGTGGAGAATTGCCAAGGTGATACGAAGCCTCCTCTGGCAGTGGGGAGCAGTGCAGGATGGGATGCTGTTGGGATATTCCCTCTCTGTTCCCGTATCCCATTCCCTCTGAGTGACCAGTCCCCAGTGGCATTTCACCAGGAGCTTCCCAAGCTTGTGCAAGAAAGCCAAAAACACCCAGCGTGTTGTATACAAGTGCACAAGCATCCAGTTCAAGGCCAGCTGATGCAGGCAGGAGAAGAGCAGAGCTGAAGGCAGGCTGCCTTCCCTGGGTGGTTGTCCTCCTGCGGAGGCGCAGAAACTGCTGATGCCTTGCACCCTGCGCTGTATTGGAAGAGCAGGAATCTGCAGTAAGCGGTTTAAAAACAATATTCCCAATCAGGGAAAGTGCTGCAGCCTGCCTTACTTTTCAAAACACTTTGAAATCTGCTTCAGAGAAGGAAGTAGGAGAGCTGTGCTTGGAAGAAAATTTCCATAAGAACCTGCAGTTGTCACTATTTTAGGTATTTTTGTTGCTTCAGTGGAGAAGGTTGGGCTCTATTTAGGGGAAATTACTACTACCCATACTGAAAAGCACACTTCTGCTGGGTTACGTGTGCTTGTTTAGCTTGGTCTGTTCATCCCACTTTTGCTCAAAGGGTCTGTCCTTCCTTACGCAAGCCTTCCTGCTGTCAGCCATAGGATTGTTTATACAAGTGTTGTTTTGAAAATAAGGGCTGCAGGAGTGAGCTCTTAATTGACTGGGTCTTTCTATCATAATGAAATGTACAGTGTCTGGGCATGAAGCCATCAGCCCTCAGGAAAACGCAGCCAACGCTGAATGCTGCGGCGTGATACAAGTTATGTAAGTCCATCACACTCATCCTCTCTCTGCACTGGCTTCCCGTAGAGGTGCGAGTCAGGCTTGACGTCTCCTGGTTTGCTCCATCACTTCGGCTGATACCTACGGAAAAGCCTTAGGAGGGGAGCAGGTTTGACAGTTGCGTTCCTTGAGGGTCCTGGGACTTTTTACTTCCAAAACCAAAGACCACCCAAGCCAAGGCTCCAGAATTACCTTCCACAGAAACCAGAGACCATCACAGAAATCTTGTCCTTTTTTCTTCTCTGCGTTAGAAGTGCTTCTTTCACTTTGCTTCCCCTCCCAGACACAACAGCCCAGGTAGGGTAAACCAAAGCCCTATGAAAGCAATTTACTGCACTTACATTCTCCTCTTCAGAAGAGAAGGAGAGAATGAACCCGATGTGACATGTTTGTCATGTTGCTTAAGACAAGACCTGAAGGTCCTCAGGTACTCCGGTGATGAGGGCAGTGATAGAAACAGGTCAGAGAAGTCTTTGGTGCTTTTTTGAGCTATGCTGCCTTGCAGACAAAAGATCCGTGGTCAGCCAAAACAGCCTTCTGGAATGTCTCTTTAGATGCCCACGTCACTCTCACCGATGTCATTCATACCATGTTTGCTTGGGTACTTTTTATCATAAGCAAAACACTCATTGATAAAGGAACTAGATCAGCAAAAGCATGCTGGACTGCTCTCCCCAGGCGTCCCAGGTTTTGTGTGCTTTGGCAGGGGATGCTGCCTGGCCTGGGGGTGAGGAGCATGCTGCGGGGATTTTGAGCCTCAGTGCTATGAAAGTGTGAATACTGAAGCAGGTTACCCCTGTACATCCCCAAACTTTTCTATCTCAGAGGCTCAAAAAATAGAAATGCAGGTTAAGTGCCTGTACTCAGCAGATGTGGTGAATACAGTTCTGGAAACAGACAATATTTTCTCAGATTAGACTGTAGCTCTTCAGACTGCCTGAAATTCAGTTTTGCCATCATCTGGAGGCTCTACAGGCTACAAAAGACTAAATTTCTCATACACATCAGGGGAAAAAAAAATTACATTTGAACAGTAAGATTCACTGGAAGACTTCCCATTTTTACAGCCCTGTGTCATGGGGAGGTGGAAAGGAGAGTGTCATGGGGCCACACGACCTTGTAGGACATCTTTTTACCTAAGAATGACTCATGGAGTTGTTCACTGTATTCTCATGTGTCCTTGAAGTGCCAGCCCTTGGCTAAAACACCCAGGCCACAGCACACCAGTGGCAGTGGCTGCTCTTCAGCTCGATGCCATGTCAGGGGTGCTAACCTGGGCTCTGCACCCCTAATAGAAAAAGGCAATTTCCCAGCCAGGGAAGGATTTCCAAAAGCACTGGTCTAGGTCTGTGAGGGATTCACCTTTGGTCTTCCCTGGTGCAAAACCAGCAGTTTTTGCGAATAAGATGTTTGAAAGCATCTTAGTGACTTTGGAGCTTGAATCCTGTTTATAGATCTTGAAAGAGGCAGGATAGCAGCAAGGTTGGTAGCCACGTGTACCGAGCGATCAGATGAGTCGTGTGAGGAGTGTGGCTCTCGGGACAGCAGTAAATACTGGTCTTCTATTTCTTCTCAGGCCCCCTGTTGGATTCCTGACATTTTAAGCCCAATCCTTTCATGTGAGGATTATCTGCCTCAGCGCGGGTACAGAGGATAACACAGTACTAGAGAAAGCTAGACCTGAAATAGCAAGGGTTATTTCAGATCAGGCTTGCAGTGTATTATTAGTAGTGCTTTTAATAAGTTGTGTAAGAGAAAGCCTTTGTATTATGCCCTAAGCTGCAGATGCCTCTACAAAATATCCCAAATCCCAGTGCAAGCGGGATTTTACTGCTTTTCACGCTGGAATTGTATTCTTGCAGGTTTTTGAGGTTTTATACCATTCCTCTTCCCTGCACGTTGTCCTGATATCTGCCCTCTGCAGAGCACGGAGAGTGAGGTGGCTCTGCACATCTCCACCACTGCCTTTCCAGGAGCTGCGTTAGTAATGCTGCTGTTTGCACGGCCTGAGAGCAAGGTTGCCAAGGGGTCTGGGAATAGCACAAAAGGTCCAGCCACAACACCCCTGTCCTATGGTCTCTAAAGAGGCTGCTGGATATATTTGAACAGTGACCTGCGCTTGTAGCAGTGCTTAGGGGCTGTACCAGTGATTGATCTTCTTACCATATTGCCTTTTTCTGACGTGAGCCAAACAAAAGAAAACAAAGAGATCCAAACATCAGCAAGACCCTATGTGCCTTGTAAATAAATGCTGTATATTCACCTGGACATATTTCAGCATGCAGATAAGTCTCATTCTCCCCTGGCTCACAGCAGTGAGAATCAGGTGCATTGAACTCAGCCGAACCATTTGGGTTAAAAGCAGTAAATAACGGGTTGGGGGTGAATCTGGCCGACCTCTCTGGGCATTTTGGCATGCCCAAGAAGGGACGGAGGTGTGGGCTGCTCCTCTGATTCTGGAAGTGCCTTCATTTGGAGGTTAAATATACCCCCTTGCAGAGCAGCCTCTCCAGGACTAGTGCAAGGGTCGTGCAGTAGCTCAGAGTATGAGAAGTGAGGATGGAGCTTACTGGTTTTGAAGGAGAAAAGATCGCTCTTTATTGCCTGTTTTTTTTTTCCCCTGCAGTTTTCTTAAGCATGTGCTTTAGGGCAGTGCTGGAGAGAGGACACTCAACAGGTCTCATCTGACCCCGTGTCACTTCTTATGTTGTTTGTCGTGACCAAGAGCTTGGGCCTCATGCCCTCTCCAGAAATTCACTCTTGATAAACTAATGTCTTTGGTAAACTTTTAAACCTCTCCATCTCCATTCCCTTAGCCACCATGCTAGGAGGCAGGGGCGCCCTGTTTTATCTTCGTGCTTGCTCCTGATGCTGCTCCCTGATTTGCTTTCAAGGTGCTCTGACGGCTCAGCTGCTTATCTCTGCTGCGACAGGCTGCCCTTGTTCAGACCCCTACACCAAACCCTCCAAGCTTATCGCTCAACTAGGGTCTTCATTTCAAATTGGTATGCCGCATCCAGCAGAGCCCTCTGCCTGACCGTGAAGAGGGACAGGAGTGCCACAGCATCCTTCCTCAGCGCCGTTCAGTGATCTCCTTCTGGGAGATGGGCACTGAGCAGCAAAGGGAGAAGCCCTGCGGGAAGGGAGGCTGGCGAGCAGGGATGCCCTCTCTCTCTCTGCAGAAGGGGAAAATCTGGTCTCTTCATTCAGGAATCCCCTGCCTCAGGCCCTGGAGTTTGAAGTGATGCTCAGTGGCTTTGCACAGAGTAGGAGCGTGGTAAGAGCATTTTGTTGCAGTCAGTGTTTTGCTGTCACGGCTAGTTGGGAGATGTGAACACT